AAAGATTTCAAATTCAGCTCCCGGGGTTCGTGGTTCCCGCGTACAGCTACGTGAGGGTTCCTGAGCAAAAATCGCTAGTTCGGGAACCAAGGAAGCTGGGAGGCTGAAACTTTCAGAAAATGTTCCCAACTCATCTGTAACGTTCGGGTGGAAGAAAAGCGGGAGCTGGGAGGGCCTGCCTGGCGGGGAAATGCAACAACTAGGACTCACTTCTTTATTAAGCAACTAGGACTCGCTTCTTTATTAGTTCAATCACACAAAAGAAAAACAATTAGGAAAAAAACCGGCCAGTCCGGAGACCGCCCGGCAGCAGCTCCAAGTTGCCACCGCACACCTCCAAATTTCAGCGAAACAAACAATTACAATAACAATTTCATTTTCAGTTATCACATTAAATATCACGAAGGGGGGAACTCGAGCCAAGAGACGGGACAATTGCATATTACAGGAACCGAAGGGCAACTGACATAGCGAAGGGGGTTGAGCCTCCAAATTCGCTTCCTTGTTACTCGTTTCTTCTTCCTTTTGCAACACATCTACAACTTAAATTTATCAAATTTAGCTCCCTTGTTGTGCATGGTTGCCACGTACGCCCCCGTGAAAATTTTTGGCGGAAAAACGGCTAACTCCGGAACCAGGAAGGCTGGGAGGCTGGAACTTTCAGGAAATGTTTCCAACTCATCTGCAGCTGCAACTTATCAAATTCAGCCCCGGTTATGCGTGGTTGCCACGTACGGCTCCGTGAAAATTTTTGACGGGAAGGTGAATTACTCTGGAACCAGGGAAGCTGGGAGGCTGAAACTTTCAGGAAGTGTTTTCAACTGATCTACAACTTAAATTTATCAAATTCAGCCCTCCCCCCCATTATGCGTGTTTGCCACGTACGGCCCCGTGAAAATTTTTGGCGGGAAGATGGGTAACTCGGAAAGAGAGAAGGCTGGGAACCTGGGATCTCAAGGGAATGTCCCCTGTCCAAGTATAGCGTGGATAATTAACTTCCTGAAATTTGAAGACCAGTATGTACAGAAGTTTCCAGCTAGCGGAATTTCGAGTGACCTTGTTACAGCACGAAGCATTGCAAAAGCGCATGATCGCACGGCCCCCCCCCTCCCCAATGCGCGTCGCCAGTGATTTATATTTCATTACTTAAGAGCTGGAGGAAATAGCATTTCAATATTTTTTACACTAATATCCGGTGTACAACATAAAGCCATAGTTGCTTTTTTCTGCTAAAATCATATTTCACTGCTTTCCAGAATTTCGGGCTTTCAAGAGTAGACTCAGAGAGCAAACCCTGCTTCCTCTTCTGAGACTTATTTAGAAGAAAAATAAGTGGCAGTCTTGACTCACTAACATGCGTCAGTGCTAATTTACCATAGTATCAAGTGAAATTAAACGGGCTACGTACTCCGAAATGATGCAGTCAAATTCTACACAATTAAAACGAATGTTATCATGCTTAGCAACACAACAAATTTGACGGCATCGAATCTAAGAGAGTTTCACCAAAGTCACTCGGGCAATCAGCGCAGTCAGCACTTGGCCATGCTCGTGATGTTGCTCATATACTTTTACATACCAGCAAGACTATACCAACATTGTGGTTCTATCCTACATACCTTAATTTGATATCCACTGTCTATCCGACTTATATAGGCCATTGCTTCGTGAACCACTCGGCTGGTCACTTTTTCTCACGAATTCCACTTGCTAGTGGGATATCCACTAACTATCGGCAAAGCCAACATACGAGATCAAGGACAAAAACGAGGACGATGACGAAGGCCAAAACGATGAGACCTATGCCGTGAAATTTGTGCAAACCGGTAGTCTCTGCACATAGTCTTCGATGAGTGACTGCGCAGCATACCTACTTCCCCAACAAGATACTCGTAACTGCCAACTTTTTCCAAGTCAGTACTATTTATGGACAATCTTGCTGTGGACGCACCAGCACTTTGCATCACTTTTATTTTCAATATGTCAGCTTTGAAGCTCATTTCTGTACTTTATTCCTTGAGCTTCAGCGCAAAATAGAACAGAAACAAGGTTAAAGACCGAGATCTAGCTCGTTTAGCTGGAGAGTAGAGAAATGGTACATTTTCAGATTTCAAGTAATCCTACGTACGTGAGAAGCAGGCCTACATTAAAGCTGAATTTAACTTTCTGGGGCCGCACAAGCACAGGCAACAATTTCCTAATCACTGCGGACTCGCACCAGGTGGGCCGGTGTGATCATGCGTTTTTGCACTATGTCGTGCTTTAGCAAGATCGCTTGGAGCCCTAGTAGTTAAATGAGATACTGGTCCTCGAAATTCAGGAAGTTATTTGTGCAGCCAAGTAATGTGTCAGTTGTAGATGCCGGCTTCAGTAACCCGACAAACGGAAAGTTGCTCGTGTGTGAAAAAGACCACACGAGATGAATGAACTTGAAATCTTTTAGTCACACATGAGTAGAAAACATTCCCCTAATATTCCGGCTTTCCAGCTCTTTTCTTTCCTGAGTTAGCAGTTTTCTCATCAAAATTTTTGCGTGTCCGTACTTGAGACACGAGCAATTCTAAAGAGCTGAATTTGAAGTCTTTTGGTCGCACTTGAGTAGGGTATATTTTCTTGAATTTTGAACTTCCGAGCTTTTCTTGTTTCCGAGTTAGTGATTCCCCTACAAAAGCTTTGTATATGCAAGGCTCAGACGTACGTGAAAGATAGTGCCATGTTCCTGGGATGGTACTTGATCAGGCACTGACAAAATCTCAGCACCAAGACCTGCCTGGTTGCCGAGCTGAAATACCCGAACAGACACACATACATGTGCACACACGCATCTACAAACATATACACACCACGGATGGTTACAATATGAGATTTTGTCTGCATAAAGATACAAAAACCCGTGAAAACATATAAAGTGTTTCAGAAATTTCAAAGATGCTAACAATAAATATCTCTGACTAGGGGATTGGAAGAGGACGAGGTCTGAACCCTTCTATTTTTTAACATACGCAGCTTATTTGGTGTTGTTGGCCCACCGTGAAGAGAGGAACACAATTGAATTTTGACAGTTATGAAAAACTGGAAGTGCCATTTAGATCTCCCAGATAAGCAAACCTCTATTTACATTGAGCTGGTATCCCGCCTGTGTTTCGTCCTTGAGCTGTAAACACAGACGGCAGAGTCGGTACGGAACGGGGCGGGAATCATCAGTACAGTGCCCCATTCCGTCATGTTAAAAGGAACATGTGGATTATACAAACATATAAACCAAGTATAAACATTGGTTTGTCTTTGGCTTCAGCAGCACCAGTCTTAAACACTCAGATACCTCTAACAAGTTTGACCTTCAAGAGCAACTAAGAAATTTCCTAAGTACAAATAATGTAGATTACAACAAAACAGCAGTTACACACGAATGTGCGAAGATCTCTATAGCGATGTTAGTAATATTGGGCGAGGAATTAAGACAAGATTAAAACTACCAAACTGCAAAATGTTGGGCGATCGACGCAGAGAAAATGCAAAATTTCAACTTTTTTGCAGCAACGCCTAATATCAGCTGCATACGCACAAGAGACAACTATAACACCGTCATCGATTAGCGCAACTCCAACTTCAGCTACTACCCCAACGGCAAGTAACACTGCAACGGTATTTTCAACAGCCACCGCCACATCTGTCACAACCACAGCATCATCGCCGACTAGCACCATATCAGTCACAACTTCAGCAACCTCAGGCGTCACGGCAACGACCTTT